CACAGCCTCTACTGGAATGGTTACCCGTACATCGATCTGAGTGAATTTCAATGATCTTTTTATGCATGTGGCAACTTCACCTTTGGGACGCCCTGTCCTATCTTTCCTGATTGAATTATAACTTTGTAGGTTCAGAATTTCACCCTTCAAGTGAGTTTCCTGCACTAGAGCAATATCGACATTATTTTTGACAGTATTTGAATCTGAACAAAAATCAATTCGACACTTCTGTTCTGTCATATAGAATTTGTTTATTGTGTAATTGTATTTCATAGTTCCGATTGAGTAAGTTTTTTACATGAGGAACTGTATGAGATCATTGGAGTTCAACAAGGGAGTTGAGTTGAGTTGAGTTAGCATCGGGGGGACTTGTCGAAGTCCAGACAGCTAGACCGCTAGTGTGGGTCCATTGTGTCGCCCCGTGAGTATGGCATCCTTCACAAGTGTCCCGCAGCTCTGCCGAAGGATAGGATGCCGGTAGCCGGGATGTTTGGCGTTTCTTCCGCTGGAAGAGTCGTTTGTCCGAAACTCCGCCATCTGAGCTGTGTTAGCGCAGGACATTCACATAGGATGTGGATGGGAGTTTCGTCGTTTTCGAGACATAAACGGCACGTTGGGTCATCGGAGATGCCCAGAATGTTTAGATGTCTGTTAAGGCGGCAGTGTCCAGTTAGTAAACCAGTGACAACTCTGCATTGGCTTCTTCACATATTCAGGAGGGATTGGGTGAGACGTATCGAAGGCCTATCAATGAAGGTCTTCGCCTGCCTCATACCCCTGGATTCATTCCCGACAAAACCTCTCTGTCAGAAGTTCTTCAAGTTTTCGCAGTCCTGTGCAGAGAGAAATGCTCACGATGGGCTCTAGGCCCACAGGACGGGCTGAAGAACCTTGCCTTGCTAGATTATCGGCTCTTTCGTTGCCATCTATCCCACTATGTCCCGGAACCCAAAGTAGTTCGATACGGTTTTCCCTTGCTATCCCAGCAAGGTTTCGTTTGCAATCTAAAACCAACCGAGAGACCAGCTCGTAGAGCTTTGAGAGCGGCCTGACTGTCGGAGCAGATGGAGATGCGCTTGCCTCTTATGTGGCGTCGTGTGATTTCTTGTGTGCAGGCAAGGATGGCGAAAACCTCAGCCTGGAATACAGTGGCCAATTGTCCAAGGTGTTCAAACTCTTCGTAGTCTTGGTTCTGCCCGGTTCAACAAGAGAATTATTATTTGTTTGATAGTAGTGATGGCGACACTGATTATGTACCCGGTTGGCACAGATATTATTGTTATAACTCTACCAAGGAATCAAGCTGAAGCCAATTCATTTTGCTCCCACGGGAGGTAATATTTTTTCTTCCGTGGGAGTGAACTGGAAGGTTTGTGTCCTCAAATTGTGGGAGCAAACGCATACTTTTGATGCAGTGAGTGGATAAATAGTTTTTTCTACTCACTGCATAGAAAGTTAGCGTTGGCTCAAAATATTATACCTCCTGTGGGGGGTAAAATAAGTTGGCTTCAGCATGCTTCCTTGGTAGAGATATACGATTTGTGCTACCCAAGTACCTAATCAGTGTGTTCATCACTTCTATGAAACAAATAACAATTCCATTTTCCAATGATCTCATACACGTCCTCATGTAACACCAATCGAAAATTTGAATAAAATCGCAATAATTACATCACAATAAACTAATTCAATGTGAAAAAAGTGTCAATGTCAATTCGATTTTTGTTCTATAACCTTAGATCATATGAAACCTTAGATCATGTAACACATTTATTTGAATCAAGACTTGAGGCATAGACCGCGTGAAGCACAATTTTAGGAACGACGCTCTCAAATGTATCTGTACGTGGATAAAATCATATATACAGGGTGTTTCACAGGTGAAGGGAAATATTTCAATGGTAGATAGGGGTCACCAAGGTGGTTCTGAAAATACCATAATATTTGATAGGTCTTAAAGTATTCCAATTTCGAATAATTATTCATTCGTCTATATGTATTGACCTACCCAGTATATTTTCCTCAAATTTAGTAAGGAGCTTATACTTGGGGCCACAAATTCATTCACCTATCGGGCGGAGTGAAAATCCAGATTCCGCTTCAGGAAAAATTTGCATTTATTCGAAATATTAAAATAACACACTGTATTTAATAATTAACACAGCACATCAAGAGAATTGTGAAGAGGAGGAAAAACTGAATTGGGTTTGTTGCTTTTTGTTTTCCCGCCACCAATTCTCATCGTAACAATCATAAACAGAAAGTTGAAAGCATGCCAATTTGAAGAGTATTGAAATTATGAAACCAGTGTCAATTATGATTATTCGATATATTTTAGTCAAAAAATCGCTCGAAAGAACTTACTAAGTCTCACATTCTTCATAACGGAGATACAGGGTGAATTGTCGGTTTTGAATAATTATTCACTCGTCCATAAGTATTAAACTACCCAGTAACATTTTCTCAAATTTAGTATGTAGCCTACTTGGGACGATGGATTCATTAACCTATCAGGCGGAATGGAAATAATACCAAATAATTATAATTGTACTGTATCTTTGTTATAAAGACTATGAGACTTTTCCTGAAGCTGAACCTGTATTTCAGGTCAATGAATCCACCGTCAGACTTAGTAAGTCCTTTCGAACGATCATTTAATAAGAATATATCAAATACTCATAATTGAAAGTAGTTTCAAAATTTTAATACTCTTCAAATTGACATACATTTAGCTTTCTGTTACTGTTAATTGTCACGATGAGAATTGGTGGCAAGAAAACAAAAAGCATCAAATCCAGTTCCGTTTTTCCTCCTCTTCACGATCCCTTTGATGAACTCTGTCAATTATTACATACACTGTGTTATTTTAATATTTCGAATAAATGTAAACTTTTCCTGAAGCCGAACCTGGATTTTCACTCCGCCCGATAGGTGAATGAATTCAACGTTCCAAGTATAAGCTCCATACCAAATTTCAAATTTTAGAAAAATATACTTACAGACGAATGAATAATTATTCTAAATCGATATGTACCATTGAAATATTACCCTTTATCTGTGAAACACCCTGTATATCTTGGGAGCAAACGTTCATTTCTTTCCATGTGTGTTTAATGCCTTCCGTTAAGCGTCTGGCATCAAACTTCACACGCGGGAGGAAATAGATACCTTTGCTCCCTTGATATATAAATAGCTATTTTCCACCACTAGCTCTAGAATTAACCTACCATTATTTACTCCCCTTCAAGGCCTTTTTATTACCAAGGTATAGTTATCGTCATTAAATCAACCACAAGTCAATGAAGACATAGCCCCACCTCTGATTAACCAGAATTCACTGTTTTTATGCAAGATTCGCAAGAATGGCACTCGAATGTTCAATAACGACTTGTCATATGCTGTCATGATCATGTCTACTAGATTTCAATCAGAATTGAAAAGAAGTGCTTTCATAGTGACAATAGGTTCATATTTGAGTTTCACAGAACTATAGTGATTGAAATATATATGGCAAACAGTCAAGACGCGTCTTCGCAGTGCTCCACAAATTTTGCTTTCAAATGCTGTAAATCAGAAATATTTAGTCATTATGTATGTGTAAATTGTTTGGGTATTCTTCATAAAAGCTGTATAGCAAAAAATTAGAGTAAAATACATTTTATAAGTGGAAATAAAGTTGAGTGTTGTGATGTATCTAACACCAGTTATGGTTGAAATCATATATGTTTGGACGTAGCATGACTGTGAGAAATAACGTTTTTACGTCAGGTGAGCGTGATGTTAAATTAGGAGTACCGCAAGGGTCTGTTTTAGGACCCCTACTATTCGTGCTATTTGTCAACGACCTGCCCAAAAACGTAACTGATTGCTACATCACCATGTTTGCTGATGACACAACAATTACAGTTGCTAGTCCTGATCCAGATGTACTATTAACAAATGTCGGCAAAATCATTGATTCGTTCACATCATGGTGTGACAGAAATCAACTCATTTTAAACACAACAAAGTCAGTTTCAATGAAATTCTATAATAGGAAAGATAATATCCCTGGTGAAATAAACGCTATTGATGAAATAGTTATGTCGCAAGATGTAAAATTCTTGGGAACATTTCTAGATGAGAGGTTAGACTGGGATCTACATATCAATCATGTATGCAAGAAACTAAATTCAGCATTCTTTGCAATTAAGCAAATGAAAGCATGTGTAGGCAAGGAGAGTTTATTAAGCATTTATTATGCAATGGTATACTCACACATTTCCTTCAACACTATGTCATGGGGATGTGGTAAAGATTTTGATAGAGTGTTTATAGGGCAGAAACGTATCGTAAGATTAATATTTGATATGGACTATCGAGATAGTTGCAAACCAATATTTATAAGAGAGAAATTGTTGACTGCTCCATCCATCTATATTTTGAAATGTTTGAAATGCATTAGAAGCAACTTGAAATCCTTCGATACCAATGCTTCTTCGCATGCTTACAACACACGCAATGGTAGTCACCTAAAAATACCAAACCACAAAACCACGAAATTCCAAAATTCTCCTCTCTACAAAGCACTGAGTTTCTACAACAAACTGCCAACGGAAATTAAAAATTCTGAATGTGATAGATTATTTTTTAACAAAATAAAATGTTTGCTGACTGACAAATGTTACTATTCCTATCAATAATATTTGGATGATCCATTATTGTGAATTATTTTACTTGTAGTGTGCTGTCACCCTATTCCGTAATACAATTTCAATTCAATGATTTTAATTATATATGGTCTTGGGCATTTGGACTCAGTCTATGATTTTATTTATACTGTTAATCGTTTCACTTTTAAATATGTATCCTGTGTTGTGCTTTCGTCAGATCCGTATTGATTTTATTTATTCATACGATTGTTATTTTTACTCAATGATCTACAATTTGGTTTTATTGTATTTGTTTAATTCAGATTCGTGCTGCTAATAGACTGCGGTCACGTGTTGGAAAGCAGTGGTATGGAGACGTGGCTGAAGGGGGAGAACGAAGCGGAGATCCAGGTGAAGGTGTGCCCCAAATGTAAGACGCCGATAATCAACACGCAGAGGTACAGCGAGTACCTGAAGAAGGCCATGGTGGACATCCAAAACGTGAAGAAGCGGCTGAACGGCAGCCCGGAAGCGAATCGCGAGATGAGGCTGCAATTGTGGGCGAGAATCTTGTTGTTGAAACACCATCATATCAGCAGTGAGTAAATCAAGTGGGAATTTCAAATTGTGGAAGAATGGGGAAGATTATCAGCTTGACAATTCATGTATAAAAAATCCCATAATAATAGACGGCCGGTAGTGATAGATTTTCCGTAAAGTTTTTTTAGTGGAGGCAACTGAAGTGATGATTTTCATGGGTTTTCAAAATGTACTAGACAATTATCAATTTCTGCTAGCATGTAGCGGCGTCACCAATCAAATATGAATTTGCATAACTGGTTCTAATTGAAATTAAAAAAAAATAAATACCGCAGATAAGATGTGCATACTCTGCACTCGTGTAGGAAGAAACTATTAACTGAACATGTGATGAAGTGGAGGATATTTTTGAGCAATGATCTAACATATGCTTTTTTGCACACTGATTTTTGCAGTTACTTATATCCGCCGTCTTCGTTGATACAATAACCGCTATACTTCGTAGCTGATGGCAATGTTGCCAAATGTCATCATTCCTTAATACTCCCTTATGTAACGATTCGATAAACAAACTGTATACTTCAGTCAATGAAGGTCCAATAAGGGGGTTTAGAGGACGTGGAAGAGACGTAGCGTTGCCAGAAAATGTACATTGTACCATATGTGGTACTTCTCAGTGAAAACAGTACAGTGGTAATACATTTCGAAAATGTATATAGTAGTTTCGTGGAGAATGTTGAGCGTTGGCACCACTGTGATTACAGCATATGTCTACTGTTGTGTCATTCGTCATTTGTCGATCTTTCACTTCAATTTATCATTGTCAATTTCCGTTTCATTTCATCCACAGCCGGCTCATGTCCCATCTCATCATTCCCACTATGCAAAAACTCATCCTCATGAAACAGCTTTGTTACAGTGAAAGTGTATTTTCAAATAGTATTTGCAATAAAGCTTTTACGTACCAAGTCTTCATTTCGGAATGTGAAAAGTACATCCTTGGACGATTTCATAACATTCATGTTTCAAAAATGTTCACCCGTGTAACTCGGTTACTTCTAGACTATTTATCGTGAATTCTTAACCTTCCAGTAGTCGCACGCGGAGTATCACTCCGCACGAATATAAAACGTAAGTTTTCTCGAATATACTTCATTCCCTCATTCCGCCGCACTCAGTACCTTCCTAAAATGACGACTTCAGTACGAATCGAGTATTACCGGTGTGCAAAATTGCTTCGTTTTTGGATTTCATAGCGAAGTGTGGAGTCGTACTCCGCAGCGACCTTAGACGTCTTAGTTATATCGCATATTGCAGTTACACTTTGCAGCTATTTTGGGCGTTTTAGGCAAAATTTTTGTCTCATTTGATGAATGATATTTCATAAAATACCGTTTTGTAAACACACATGATCGATGCTACTCTGATAAAAAAAATAGACACACCCAATTTCATTGTAGTCCATGTGAGAAATTCATGTGCTTGTTAGAACCCGCTAAACATTTTCAGTTTGTACTCAAATTATAGTGTTTTTGTTCGAATTCTAGTTATCAAATCTTCGATAGTTGTCTTATGTTAATTTTGGGCTTTGTTATTGAATAAATATATTTTTATTGCAATTTTGACATTTTACTACATAGAGATATTCATGTCCAAAGGCATACTGATGAAATCTTTGGAAAAATTCAAGTCATCATGTTCAAACCACCCACATTCTCCATTGCGGAGTCAGACTCCGCAGCGACAGACTATGTCCTTTTTAAAGCGGGACTACTGGAAGGTTCAAACTATTACTAGCATACTTTCATAGCTAGGTTTTATCACACTGGGTTTTTCATAATATTTGGGAAGCGTTCTCCCATTTCTCCCACTACAGAAAACAGTAACTGGTATAATGAATTAAATTTGGTTCGATCATTACAAATGAATAAATAAATTGACATTTTTAACAACTTGAAAACAGACAATTTTTGGACAATTGTTCAGGAACATTTATCATTGTTTTGAGCGGCTCTATCACATTTTGATGTGCGTCCTGAACACCCAGTATTATTTTCTGGCTAAAAATATACCAAATATTTTTTAACGCGATCTGTCCAAATTACCAATTCACAAGAGAAAATATTAATGTTGAATCACTCTGATATTCACTAGTCAGCTCCATTAATTGCTAAATATTTATCACGAGGACAAAATAAATTCACATATAAATGTAGTCAATCCATTTATGTAGAGTAGAACTACTATTGAGAGTATATGGATATTTGATTAATTGATTATATCCTATTATGTATTTTACTTCAGTTAGGTAGTTCAGTTTTATTTTATTCTATGAGCGAATCTATTTCAAGGCTGGAGATTTCATGTAATGCACCTGAAACACCAAAAAACTGTTAATACTACACATGTCAGCATCACATATTCATAATCATCCTACCTTGATTAGTTTCCTTCCTGATGGTCTGTTCTTGATTATCGATACTTTCACCCTCCTCTGTAACAGAGGGTGGCCATTAGAGTATTTTAGTCCAATGTAAGAGTTGACTTTTATGTTTTTTTTATGTTCTGGTTCCCACGAAAAGGAATATCCTGTAATGTTCAGAGAACATCGTGAGAACCAAGGGAAATGAGGTAGGAATTGGTGTTCTTCTTGAATTTCTGGCATATAGCCTCGAGGAACATCTCCCTTGGTAATGTGTTCCAGAGCCTCGCTGTTCGTTGGATGAACGAGTCTTTGGAAAGAGATGCTCTGCAGGTCTCCAAAGTGACCACGAATGGGTGCGAAACCTCAACTCGACAAGTTAATCTCGCGGGACTGCGAAGGGAGGAACAACTATTGATATTTCAGAAGATCATCGTCCATGAAATTATCCATAAATTAGAGCCAGATCGCCAACTTTTCTTCGGTGTTGCAGAGAAGTGAGTGCGTTTGTGAGCGAGGCATCACCCACGAGACGAATTGCCCTTTTCTGGACAGAATCCAACAGTTTCAGGGTATGTTTGGGTGCTGCACTCCAAATATGGGAACAGTATTTCAGGATAGGTCGGATCTGTGCCTTATATAATAGTTAAAGTTAAATAGCTCCTGGCCCGAAACAGAAAACCAAGTTTTTGGGATGCACTTCTAGCAATTGATCTCACGTGATTTTCCCAAGAAAGGTTATTGCTGATAGTATAGTTACTTCTGACAAGCTTATGTTGGGCACAGTGAGATCGGTTTTTCTTGAGAAAAGGCATGCTTGTGTTTTGTTTGCATTGAAATCTACCAAGTTATTGGATCCCCATTCGAGAATTGTTGCCAAGTCCATGTTTATGTTGTCAACGTTTTTCCCTCATTTGTTTCTGATTTGCCTGGCTGGTATTAGTGCCTTGGAAGAGAAGGCGGTATGGAGGGTACTATCATCCGCGAAGCTGTGTATTGGACATGAAGTTGCTCCCAACAAATCGTTGATATGGAGTAGAAATAGTGTTGGTGCTAAAATTGATCAGATGAAACTCCGTCGACCACTACATGAAGAGACCTGTTGCCTTGGAGATATCAAGTGCTACGACTAAGGTTTCACCATATTCTTCAATAGATTGCGCTGCCACATATGTGAGACGTAAGCGAGCAGGTCACCAGTTGATCTCTGATGACGGAAGCCATATTGCCTATCGTTGATAATACCTTAATGTTCCAGGTATTCCATGAGCTCCATGTTGATAGCTTTCCCCATGATCTTTTAAATAATAGATAGCAGTGCGATCGGTCTGTAGTTGCTAGGTAGGGTCATTTTACCGTTGTTAGGAACTGGTTGTACTCTTGCAATTCTCAAGTTGGACGGAAATTTCCCCAATTTGTAAGAGTAGTTGAACAACTTGCAGAGAACAGGTGTTAGTTCGGGAGCACATTTATTGAGAACATTGTTGTCATCATTTTTTCATACGCCTTTCAAGAATGAAGGACTTACTGATTCTTGTGTCCTCCAGTTTATCTATTCTTGATCGAATGAAATCCCAAATACGTGGATTCTGAAACCATACCTAAACGTCCCAGGCAAACAGCAGATTTGTATTATATTATATTTCAACTAAGGTAGGTCAGTGGTATGTTAATTGTCCAGAGCTCACATCATGTTCTAGAAATGTAGGTATCCAGGTTCCGAGAAAACTTCATAAGTACTGACCTGTAAACAATGCAGTACTCGGAGAACATTGATATATTCCAATGAAAACTTTCGTAAATGCACATGAATCAATAAACGCACTTTCTCTTGATATTGTCTTGACTTTACTCCATCTCAAAATTCACACTTTGTGAGATATAAACAACATGAACCACGTCGACCACGACAGCATTATCAATCCCGTCGAACTAATCACTCAAAATGGTGAATATTAGCAAAATAGCGAGAAAAAGTGAGAATAAATAACGTGTTTGATTAGAATCAGGTTCGTGGTAATAGTCCTACGAAATATGATAAAAGTACGTAACATGAAATGTTCTGTGGAAGAAATAAGAATACTTTGGAGTAGGCGTTGGAATATTGACTGGAATAATATCACATAGACGTGGATAGTTAACTAATGAGTGTATATAACAAGTAGAAATGTTACGTAGAAAAAACTCGTTCACAGTATAAAAACTTTGCCAACTAAAAATATTTTGATTTGTTTTTTGAATTCTATTTCCTTTTCACATTTTTTATTGATTCAGGTATTTTGTTAAATAACCTTGGCCCAATAAAGTTAGGCGATGAACTGGTAATATTCAATCTGGCAAAGGGTATCCACAAGTTATTTTTTTGTTTCTTATTGAAATTGTGTGTTTTATAATTTTTCGGTGTCATATCTCAAAAATGAATAATCCAGTCAGGGTTAATATGTTAATATGTTCAGTTTGAAAAGATCTCTGCAAGAGTGTTGTCTTGGTTTTTTTGTTGGATCACCTTACAATTCAATGCAATGAATGTGTTCTTAAAATGTATGGAATTTCCCAAGAAGTCAATTCCATATCTCAAACGAGATTCCATCTGTGCATAGTAATAGTTCATCAATTGTTCATGAGTTAAAATAGTCTTCAAATTGTACATCAAGTAATATAATGAGTTTAGTTCAGATGTTAATGATTCACAGTGTGTTTCGAAATTGAGATTCTTATCCATAGGTATAGTTCAATACCCAGAAATTTCACAGTATCGCTGGTTACAAGACTATATAGTTCGAAAATGAAATCCTCACTGCTGTGACGTTCAGGACCTTTGGAATTTTTACTTCCTATCTACTCCGAACATATCCCTAGTCAAAAAAACTGTCTTCATCAATCAATTTTCCAAAAAACAGAGCTGTCCGCTTCAGTAACGCCAACTGGTGAGTGAAAATGATAGCCCACATTGAATATTTCAACATAAGTACTTGTAACGCCTATACTAGGTTTTTATTTAGAATGACAATGCCCAAGGGGAGTATTCAATAGATATCATTGTGTTTCAGAATTCTCCATATTATTCTCTTCTGCATTGAAAGAAACAGAATCCCGCCTAGAAGAAACCAAGTGGGACGTGGAGAGAGGTCGCGTCAGGCAATCTTTCAACGCCGTCATTTTGAACTCGATAACTTCCAAAGTCCAAATCCTGGAACACATCGCCAAAATTTTCGTTTCTGGGACAGACAGCCCAGAGGTCCAGGCCCAACTTTCTTTCATCCTCGATTGCATACAGAGGAATGAGGTGCATGTGACCAATCAAGAGATAGACGACATACAAATGGAAATTAGCAGATTGAAGCGTATGGTGGAGTTGACCCAGATCAAGCAGCATGTTCCTTCTCTCAACCGTAAGTATAATAATAATAATGATTATATGTATGGAATAAAGACACAATCTCAAAGTCATTTCCACATCTGTTAATGAAATGAACAACAATGGTAGAAAATATCCTCCCGAAATCTATTCATCGTTTCATTTGAACTAATACTGATGCAAGTGTTTATTTCCTTGATGCTGATTGATTTCCATTTAGCCAGGTTAATGCAACGACACCTACAGATAATTTTCGAGCTTTTGACCCTTGTCAGTATAGGCACAGTATATTACGCTTTCACGAGACAGTAAGCACACTCCCACAGATATTGTGCAAGCGGCCCCACTTCTGCATTGAAACTCGCGGTCGATGCGCATCAGTAGCATAGTCGAGCCTGACGAATGTACGGAGAGGCTCAGCACCATATTTACTTAGTGTCCCAAGAACACCGTAAGGCGTGAGTCGTAGTCTCAAGAAATGAAACATTGATTCATGCATGAATAATGAAACATTGATTCATACATGAATCCTAAGAAACACTAAATTGCTCCTAATCATCATATCGATAACCTAGGTTTGTAATCAGTAAATGATTATAATCAAATATTAATAAAGGTGCCTACTGAACTTGAAAAATTCATTTCAGGTTGGAGATTAATAATTGCAGCATTCTTATAGATATGGAAGGACCTCAAATCTCATCATGTTTTCACTCGAAACCTTAGTCAGGATTGTCTTGAGAACTATTTCCGAAAAGTTAGGAATACTTGCGGAAATGCGAAAAATCCCACTCCTATACAGTTTTCGAGAGCATTCAAGAAGTTATTTGGTGTTCAATATCTACAAAGCTCGGAAGGTTCAAACTGTTTGGAAGATTTTGATGAATATTGTCCACAATTTCAACAGTACCCTGGAAGAATCATGAATTCCTATTAAACGCTAAATAGTTGTAATCTCCTTTGAAAATAGACCAAATGATTATTCAGACTTATCCACCGCCGAAGGCAATTGTCTTACATATGTGGCTGGGTACCTGATGAGAAAATGCTTGAAAAAAAAACATTCATGTGAAATATGCCTTGATTATGGGTCTTATAAAAGTACACTAGATCAAATTAATATTTATTCTCAATTCAAAGCATACGAACATAAGAATAGAGGCATGTTTGATAACCTAAAAATGCCCCCTGATGAATTTCTGAATTATCTTGTTTCCTTAGAAACTGAATTCGTGTTGTCAAATTTTAATGACTATATTGGTTGGAAGGTCGGGCATAGACTAAAAGAAATTCATCAATAAGCTTCTCACACCCATGTGAACATTTTCCAAAAGATTATTTACTTTCACTGTTCATCCGTGTTAGAAAATATTATACTTTAAAATTTACAAACAAAAATATGTAGAATTCGTACTTTTATTCAGTTTGTATTGTTATGTTCCATCTATAACATTATGTTCTTTTTCGTCACAGTCGTAATAAAGTTTTCATCAAATTGTGGTGTTTCCTTTACCTTCAGGATCAATAAATTATATTCGATAAAAGGTCAGTTGAAAATTATGGCAAGTATTCGCATTTTTCGATATTTTTCCTTGATTGTTTCCTCTTGGAAACTAAAATAAAAAACGTCCTCGTATTTAATTCGTATGTTTGTATACTAAGATTGCTCCTCGTCCATTACGGTCCAGTTGACATTCGGGCACAGAATAACAAGTTCTGTCGATGCGCACTGGGAAAATAATGAAACGTCTGCCACAAAGATCAAACTGGATCAAACGTCCCGACGCCAACTGAACCTACTGTCCCGAGAAAGGATAATATACTGCGGTATAGGGTAGTCTTCAGCTAGCAGTCCTAAGACCGCCAGCTGAGCGTAACATGGCTCAACGAAATCTAATCAGCATATTTGTAATCTCCGAGGCGACTCTCATAGGCAACATGATGGGTATAACGCCATCTAGGGTAACACATCCTAAATCTGAAATTTCCATTTCGGTGAAAATAGTTATTTATTATACAAAAAATGTAGTAGATTTCAGTACTCACTTTTTTCCCACGGGAAAAAAGTAATTTATGAAAAGTGACATTTTATAACCTGCCAACAGAGATGAAATGTCAAACTTTTTTCCCGTCACAGAAAAAATAATATAAGTGATTGATTGCTCGACTGCGGTGTAATGTCAACTACGAAATAGTCATCAATCTGTCTGAATCGAAATATATCGGCATCAACGAAAGAAACGCTTAATTTTTCCCGCTCTCTTCAAGTGTTGTTTTTGAAAAAAAAATCTGTTATTTTTCCTTAGACGGACCTGGATTCTGATCTCGATTGTTATTCAATTTTGGTGGGTAATACAAGTGGAATATTTCTACCAAAAACTGATAGGTTATATACAAAGTGGTTCTGAAATTATTACCAGTTGAAGATTCTGCCAAAATCACAACACACAACAATGAGGGGTGATTTGGAACCATCAATAAAGTGTCCTTTATCTGCAGCTATCGTATGTACATTTAAATTTGAAACACCCTGTATACACTTGGAGGATTGATCTTATATATAATATGTGATGATTCTATAATTCCATAGAAACATATTTCTGCCCCCCCTCCTCCCAAATTATCACTCCTGTGATTATATGGTCTGATGTTTGAAATATGGACAGTTCCTTTTTTTGAATCATTCAAAAATCGAACATACACAGGAGTACTATCCTATCTACACTATAATAGTGCACTACTTTCTTGCAAAGATTTTGCAGATATGTGTCTGCTTGCCTCATCAATAACAACAATAATTGATTTTGAGAATTCTTTTGGTAATTCAGCAAAGTCAACATGAATATTCCCATGGATACTTCGTGAATGATGAGTAGAATGAATAAAATCAGATTTTGGCAAAGATTAAAACTTGACGTGTTGGCAAATATCACATGTTTTTATGCAATATTTTATGTCTGCTCATTTCTTTCCAATATAATCCTTTATCAAACTATATAATAGATTTTTAAAATAAACATCATGTCCTCTAGAATCAGGATCGTCGTGATATATGATACCAAAATTTATTTCTTCATTTCATTTGTCTTCACCAAAGTTCAAGTTACACCAAAATGTTTCTGAAACCGTTTCAGGTACCTAATACAAATACCTAGAAATGGCATCAGCATCTTGCAATTCTTTTCCTGATTTGTGATGTATAATGTATATATATCATCTGAGAAAAATTTGCCACCTAGCTAAACGGTCTCGTAGATGTCCAGTTTTTCAAAATAATAATAACATTTAATTGTAATACATTGCTACAATTCCCATTTCTAGTAAATATTGTTATCAATAAATGTAGGCATATCATATTTTAAAGTAACAATTATTCATTAAAGATTATGAGAGGGTTAATATAAATCGTTTTTATAGTTTCTATCATGGAATTGCATGAACAAACAAACAGTATTCATTTTGGTATAAGACTGTTCATGATGTTGCTTTTATAATTATACAATATTATTTCATTGAATGTAACTTTTAGAATTACAAAAAATATATAAATTCAATTGAACATTACTAAAAAAAAAAAAAAAATTAAAAGAACGAGAAACAAAGAAATAAACCACTTGAATTTAATTTATTTTTTTATTTTTATTTTGAATTCAGTAATATTCCTAGATTTTTATGTCTTGTGGTAGTTCATTGAATTTTGAAAGTGCTCTGTGCGTAAATCCCTTCTGACCAACCAACAAGTTATGTTGTCTTGTATTATAATTGTGAATTTCTGAATTCCTAGTAAATATTAAATTATATTTCATCATTTTATTGATAATAAGATATGATAATTTGAGAGTGTCCATTGCATAATGTTCCTCCAAAGAAAATGTGTTAGTCATGGAATAAAGTTGATTTGTTGGAGTGTCAAATGGTTTAAGATACAGTACTTTCAAAGCTTTTTTATAAACAGCAGAGATTTTATTGAAATTATCTTCAGAACATGAACCCCATATATTAATTAAATATTTGATTCTACGACTGAGAATATGTGAATATGAAAATATATTAGCTATTTTGGGATTCGATTTGGGACATCTTCTCAGGGCCCCAATAATAGAAGAAATTTGTTTCGTTAGATCATCAATATGTTTTTCCCACCTCAATTCATCATCAATCCAAATGCCAAGAAATTTCATCTGAGAAGTTTGTTTCAATTGTTCATTTTTTATTTTAATATTCAATTCAATAATTCGTTTATTTCTTTGTTTGAAAATTATATATTGAGTTTCTGTAGCGTTAATGGAAAGAAGATTAGAATAAAGCCATTTTTAGAATTTTTGTAAATCCTCGTTTATAGTTTCTTCTGAAATAATTAAAGGATTTTCATTTGCATATAATAGCACTGTATCGTCTGCGAATATGATGTAATGACATATTTTAGAACTAGATGATCAGTGTTTGCATTACAATGTTTTTCTTCTAAATAGGTCCGAAAATAATTAACCGTTAATAATTTCGAATAATTTTGCTCACTCTTTGTGAAAGAATAGGAAAATATGACTCACAATCGTCGATTCTTTATTTCGTCAAAATCAAAGATTTCAGATCATGAGGTTTTCTCATCGATTCAACTTTTTCTACTATTTCATTTTTCATCCACTTTATTATATAACCATCTAACTCCCGACCAATGAAAACGACTTTTTCCACACAAAATTTACATTTTTTTCAGATTAATTTTCATATTCCTATCATGCAACTTTTTCAATATCTCTGATCAGTATAGCTCATTCCTCATAGGTGTATGTTATGGATTAATATAATTATCAAAATATAGAAGTATATACAAAGTGGTCACTTGTTTAATGGGATACTAGCTAGAAGGATTTATTTTTATCTCTTGGAGCGCACGAAAGGAAATTCCTATGATGTTTGAAGAACATTGTGCGTGCCTAGGGAGAATAGGGAGAGAAGGTTTGGAGGTTGTCAGTTCTTGGAATTACTTTCATTGGCTAAGAATTCCAAAGCTTCGCCGTTCTATAGATGAACGAGTTTCGGTAAAGTGTTGTTGTGTGTGTTGGGCCTGATGCCGAGTTCGTCTGACTGGTATCCCCAGTGATGAAATTTTAGCAGAGATTTCTGAGGAACAATTACCGTGGAAGTATACAGAGTGTTCTAAAATTGCTAGGACACAGCTACCACGTATAATGTAAGTCAAATCAAGTTGATCGGACCCAATTCATTTATATAACAAAATGTACCGTTTGTCCTTGAGACGAATTCAAAGTTCTCATAAAAAATTCACTTTTGTACACTGTTCCAAAATGAGTGAAACAAATTGGATGAAATTGGACAAAAGTGTATTTTAGAGAATTGCCCTCCTTTCGGTAATCAAATAAGAGACCCAGAAGAAATTGTAGAAGGGTTTAAACCACTTTCATCCTCTGACATTTTTTTCAGAACATATTCTTAGGGATGGTGATAATGTTCTCAAATTTCGGCACGCTTGTGAAAATTTCGTATTCATCATAGGTCCGAATGCAAAAAATACTATAAAATGATTAATATCATTTTAGTGAAAACAAATATAGTTGTCAGTAGAAACGAAGGTACAACTTTTTTTAAATCAATGTTCAATATGACGCCCACATTCATCAATACAAATGTCAATTCGTTTGTTTTCACTGCCAAGTAATTTTATATTACATTTTATCAAACTTTGACTAGGAATATTTGTTAGCGTTATTTAAGAAAACATTTTTTCCTTCGGAACTATGCGGAATACAAAATTTCCACAGGAGTAACAAAATAAAGATAATTCATCAGTCATCTCTTTTAAAAATTTGAGAACCCTAATACCACCCCAAAGAATGTTCTGAAAAAAATGTCAGGGGGTGACGAGGGTGATTTCAATCCTTCTACAATTTTTTTCAGGTTTATTCGACTACTTAAAGAAGGGTTATCCTCTGAAATGCACTTCTGTCAAATTTCATCCATCAATCATTCTTGAACTGCGCACAAAAATATGTTCTCTCTATGTAAACTTCGAACTCGTCTCATGGAACCAATCAACTTATTTTGAACCGTATTACATGTCCCAGGCAGCCAGATGATGTTCCAATGACGTTTTTTTCACGTCACTTGAATGACCAAGGTGACGTCAGTAATTGACGTCGCATGACGTGAATAAGTCACAGCCCATTGACATCATTCACTCACCAAACTGTGAAGTCCGACTGACGTCAAAATGACGATTAAATTTGGCGATACGTAAAAAAGATTCCTTCAGCATGCTGTGATAAACACCACTGGCCTCTGATGACATTATATAATATTGATTATGCATTGTTGAGTCTGCTTGGTGGGTCCCTCCTGTGTCATGTTCATTCAATCGCCTATTCAATGCAATCAGTTACTCGTATTTGTATCAAAAATTATGTCGTTTGTGTCGGCGAGATGTAAGCAAACAAAGAATAGTTTGATAACAATGGAAAGGATGTTGGCGAATTTGGCTGCACTTTGTTGAATAATGTATATTGACCCACCCAACAAAAACCTGAGTAGCAAATTATTGAAAAAATTTCTGAATGACGCAGCTCACCAAATTGGTACGTCACACCGACGTGATTTTTAGACGTCATAGATACGTCACTGCAACGTCATGAGAGTAAAGGTTTCGATATAGGTACACCTTAACAATCATTTGTATATATGCATAGCTTGTTGGTTTCCAAGATATACAGTGTGTCAAAGTTATTTAGAAAACAAGTTTTCTCCTACTTTTTGGGTATATTAATAATTCCAATAAAACTTGCATGTTGATTTGCTTTCATGAGTTATACTCTGTTTCACTTGATGATATATAAGTATCCATGGTTCAGAGAAGGTCTGGGAAAAATGGACGTCGACAGGACGTCCCTGCAACGTCATGAAACTGACGTATTCTTTTACCCATCTAAGTGACGTTTACTCGACATCGAAACGATGTCGTGATTATCACATCATAGAACGTACGTCATAGTGACGTCATAAATTGAAGTGTGACGCCTCTGAAGAAAAATCAATAATTAGGGACGTCACAGTGACGTGATCATTCGTCATCTGGTTGCCTGGGGTGGTAGCTCTGCGTCCCAGCGATTTTGGGATACTCTATATATATAAAAGTGAAAGGTCGCCGACTTTTCTACGGTGTTCTAATGAGGATAAGCATTAGTGAGTGTGACGTATCACCGACCAGGCGAATTGCTTTACTCTGGATGAAATCTAAGAGACATCAGCGTGTGTTTGGGTCATGAACCCCATATCTGAAAACAGTATTGTAGAACTGGTCGTCTATCTGAAGTAGTTTTGTGAAGCAGCCTTCTCGATGGATCTGGCATGATTATCCATGGTACCAGACATTGGTATATGAGGCAAACTATAATGAGTAATGCCATTCAAGAGGAAATACAGGCTAGAGTATTTGGTGGCGTTGAATTCATGCACTGAGGTTGTTGGTTCCCCAGGCTGTAATTTCAGCAAGATCGTCATTGATAGCGTTGACCTGCCTACGTCGTAAGTTCTCAGAGATCATTATTGATATGGAGTAGGAACAATGAATGCCAAAATTGATCCTTGTGGAACGCCGGAATTGATGGCAAGGGTATCAGTCGATACTCCGTCCATCACCAGTTCGATTAAATGGAGAAAAAGTTGCGTATCATCTAGCGGTAAAAACGAATCGAAAGTGTCAGGGCCGGTAGTTCTGCAAATAGATAAAAGGATAACCAAATAACCGGAATGGTCTAATTTTGTTTTTTCGTCATATCTCAAGAACCGGTCCTGATATTTTTGATTAGTTTCCACCGCTAGATTGGTTTGGATGTTACCAATACAATCCCATCAAAAAGGTGGTCACCCTGTATACACCGTGGGGATTGATTCAAATATGCAATGCGATGATTCTTTATAATTCCATTGTATTATATTTCTTTCACTAGGACGCATTCTGTCGATGTTCAAGAGGCCCAGCGTGACCCCGGCAGCTCGCATCCAGCACATAGAAAAACTGGTCAACACTCGCAACAGATACACCAAAGCCATCGATGAATCCGTCCAGGAGATGATGAAGACACTGGAAAGCGGCATCAAGATCAGCGAGTCGGAACGCGTCGAGATCGTGCAGGCATTGGGACTGAAGCAAGGCCACTGGTTCGTAGCGAAATAGAATTTTTCTACTCACATAACTAAAATGGCATTTAGCGTACGGATATGTACCACGCTAAATGATCGATTAATCACGGATTGTCGATCTGTGATTCATTCGAAATATGAAACACATTACTATGGCAACACGATTTCTTAAACACATTACCATGACAACACAGTTCATTAAAAATTGTTCTAAAATTGTTCTATCCGTCATTCGGTTGCCCCCTTACGAGCAACCCTCAGAAGTCTTCGAAAGACTTGTGCGAGCAAGGAATGACGGGGCCTTACCTTTTAACGTGTGATCCCAAACACAGCTTCAGTAATTTGAGACATGTCTGACCTGTCAATTGTATTAACTGTAAACTGTTATTTTCAAATTTTGTATCAGAATTATTCAAAGAATATTCGTTCGTATCAGAATTCTTCATTAAAAATATATGCGAAATGTAAACGAATGTGAAATCAAAGAGAATGTTTTGGTACTTGCATATCTTCAAGAAGTGTAAAAATGAAGCATCCATCTTTGAGAAGAATTTATTTATTCTGCGCTAGGCATGACAATAAAAGTGAAACAAAGGTTAGTTAGCAATAATGGACTGGACACATCTACAACCAATATCACTTATACGTGTCTCGCTGGTTGTATGCAGTTGCATGTATTATGTTCTGAATTCCCACTCCTTTCGAATTATTTTGTAGGTTAGCAGGAATAGCATGTATGTTGATGTAATTTTTGGAGTTCGTAGAGAAAGCATAGTATGTAACGCGTTTATAAACTCTTCTCGACACTCGTTTATTGAACACTCGCTCCGCTCTGCTCCGCTCGTGCTTAAAATACTCGTTACTAAAAGGACGTTTATAACACTTGTTACATAATATACTATCGCTTTATACCCAGTAAACATTAATTCATGGGCAATCACTTTCAGACCAATGTCGCCCCAGTGGTAAATCACAAAAGTTTCCCACTGGCCGACTATTCGCCAATATGGGCAAAGCATTCCATTTATTGCTCATTCGTTGTTGGTCCAGTGACGTATTTTCAGTACATTGCTAATGGAAATTGAACGGTTTATTCTCACACAGAGAATTTTGAGGTTATCGTAGAGTGAATATCTTACTACTCAATTATAATAATGATTATTTTCTTCGTATGATTTCAAACCAATCGAACGTTCAAATGAGTTAAGCTACCTTGTATTATTAAACATAGAGTAGCTCCACCAATCAGAAATTTAGAATCATTTCCATTTCCATAGTTATACTAATTCATATTGTTATATACAAACAAAGCACGTCGTCAAACTTGAACGTTCGTTCGGACTACTGAAAAAATGATCGCATCGAATACAATTCGAACTTCAAAATCTTTGAGGTTGAATATCTCAGACATCCTGCACAATAGTTATGAATCGTGTCAGTTTAACAGAATAATATTTCAACTGTTAAACTGACACTTTGTTATAATTATGCAACAACCCAGGCAACCATACGACGAATGATCACGTCACTGTGACGTCCCCAATTGGTAATTTTTCGTCAGAGACGTCGCACCAATTTTTGACGTCACTATGACGTAATTTCTATGACGCGAGAATCACGTCATCATCTCGACATCGAGGGAAAGTCACTTGGAAGGGTAAAATAAGACGTCAGTTTCATGACGTTGCAGGGACGTCCTGTCGACGTCCATGTTTCCCAGACCATATCTAAACCATGTATACTTACATTGTGACCCAGACCATATCTAAACCATGTATACTTACATTCTGAAACCGTTAGTTTTGTGACGTACCTATATATACAGGATGAGCATTTCAGTCTCGAAAAGTTTTCAGAAAAAATCGTATTTTCATTAATTTCACACACATATATACAGTGTGTCCACCTTAAGGACTTACCACCCCTGTAAAATTGTTATTATCTGACCGATTTCAAAAAACTTTTTTTTGTTGGATAGGTATTTGAAATGTCCATCCAACAAAAGAGTGATTTTACTCATGAACTGTAATCGTGGCCAACTGCGACCAACTTTATTGACCCATATTTGAGAAAGTACTATTAGGGATTTTTTTTTCACAAAAAAGCAATGATGGATTCTGAATCACGATCACTGGAAAAACACCTTTACTGATTTTTATCATCATAAAACACAGGGTGTCCGAAAAAACGAATTATGTTTTTTGTTTAATAGGTGATCAGAAAATGTTGTATTGTGGTATTTTTGAGAAGAATTAATGACACATTATTATTGAGGATCACTTTGAACATATCTGTACCGATTTTCATCATTCAAAAATACGATGTGTATGAAAAAACAATTAAAAAGGAAAAGTAGGCAATATTTTTTCATCAACTCATAATAAATCTTATTTTGATTTTTTGAACACTGTGTTTAATGATGATGAAAATCGGTACAGGTATGTTCCAAGTGATCCTGATTCATCTTTTTATTTCGAGTAAAGAATTATCAGGATGAAAAATATTGCTACCTACGAAAATTGGTACAGGTATATTTGAAATAATCCTCAATGATAATTTGTGATTATTTCTTGCTAGAAAAACCACAGAACTACATTTGCTGATCAGCTATTTGAAGAAAATGATGATTCGTTTTTTCGGACACCCTGTGTTTTATGATGATGAAAATCGGTACAGGTATATTTCAAGTGGTACTGATTCAGAATCCATCATCAAGTTTGGTGGAAAAAAATCCCTAATAGTACTTTCTGGAATATGGGTCATTGAAATTTGTCGCAGTTGGCCACGATAATAGTCCAAGAATTAGATCACTCTCTCGTTGGATGGGCATTTCAAATACCTATCCAACAAAAAAAGGTTTTTTGAAATTGGTCGTATAATAACGATTTTACAGGGGTGGTAAGTCCTTAAGGTGGACACACTGTAGATACTTGTACGTCTTGGTAATTCTATATACAGAGAAGTGCACAAAAACGGCCAGGATTGTAACTTTCGAATTATTCTAGATAGGGTTTTGAAAATTGGTGGGTATCAAGTATACCAAATTCCTCATTAATTGATGAAACAATTTCTCTTCTATTACTTTCAGTTTCACCGGAAACGAACCCAACTTTTGATTTTTAAATGGGACACCCTGTATTGTATTCCATAATCGGTTAGGGTTTCTTATGACGAATTCAACGATACCGGGTTTGATAGGGTTATTTCAAACGATTACGCAGATATTTGTGTTCGAAGTTTCCATATGCTCAATGGGGGTGACTTCGCAATATCCAAACTTCTTTCTCTGTCACACTCATTGAGCATATGGAAACTTAGAACGCGAATATCTGCGTAATCGTTTGAAATAACCCTATCAAACCCGGTATCGATGAATTCGTTATGACAATCCCTAACCGATTATGGACTACAATACAGGATGTCCCATTCAAAAATCGAAAGTTGGGGTCGTTCCCAGTAAAACCGGAAGTGATAGAGCAAAAATTGTTTCGTCTATTAATAATAAATTTGGTATAATAGCTGTCCACCAATTTTCAAAACCGTATCTCAAATAATTCAAAAGTTACAGTCCTGGCCGTTTTTTGTGCACTCCTCTGAATATGCTTCTAACGTCGATAGAAGTATAACTCATTAAAACAAATCAACAGGCAAGTTTCATTGAATTATAATATATACCCAAAAAGTAAGAAAAAACGTTTTTAAACTTTGACACCCTTTAATGACGTTGCAGTGACGTATCTATGACGGCTACGTCATACAGAAAATTTCTCAATAGGTTGCTTTTTAGATTTTTGTTGGGTGATGTAAAGTGCATGAATATACGTTACTCAACAAAGTAAAGCTAAATTCGCCAACATTTTTTTTCATTGCTATCAAAATATTTTTCGTTTGCTTACATCTCGCCGACACAAACTACATAATTTGTTATACAAATAGGGGTAATTGATCTCATTCTGATGGAGATGCAAACTGAGGGATAGCGTTGCTGAATAGACGATTGAATGGACATGACACCGGAGGGACCACCAAGCAGGCTCAATAATGCATAATCAATATTATGGTGATTATCACACCATGTTCGAGGAAACTTTTTTACGTGGCATCACCAAATTAGAACGTCATTTCGACGTCACCCCGACGTCACAGTTTGGTGAGTGAATGACGTCGATAAACGTGAGTAATATGACGCATTGGGCTGTGACTCATTCACGTCATTTATCACGTCATACGACGTCAACTCCTGTCGTCACCTTGGTCATTCAACTGACGTGAAAAGACGTCACTGAAACGTCATCTGGTTGCCTGGGAAGTTATCGATGTATAGCCACTTATAGTATTACTACTGATAATAATAATTAAGGTACAATGAAACTTTTCGTATACAGTGTGTCCCGAAATTACATATTGAGATTTCTATTCTATTCTAGGAACAAAAATAGTGAAAATATTTAATTCGAACATGAGCCCAGAAATGGGTTTTGGTGATATAGTCATTTGAAAGTGGGCCCGAGATGATGGTTTTTTGTAAATATTTCCGAAACCGTGTTGAGACAAAGAAATTCTGTTCATGTTATATTATACTTTTTGATGCCCGCTTTGGAAATGTTGGAAATTTTCCGAAATTTTTATCAGGGGCGTGGAAAATAGGTGAGGCTAGGGACATTTGTTCCAACTTTTTTTTCTATGCATTTTCAGGCAGTTTCATCAGCAAATATGTAAATATCATCATATTCACATAGAAATGATACTCTTATTGTTTAGTTTCGATAGCACTCACCATTTTCGAGATAAATCGATTTGAAAAGTCGGCTGTGTAATAATGCCGGTCCCAATTTGGTATAAAGATCGCACGACTAATAGCTGGGATATAAAAGGGGGGGCGTTTGAAACGAGACAAGCTTGGTACAGATCTATTTCAGAGGACGCCCATTCCAGTGGTGTATGCGGATTTTTTCTGAAAAAATTCG